GAGAAACGTTTTACCCAGGCGCTGGGCTGTTTTACATGCCGTTCCCTGCTCCTTTGGAGCCGAGACATGGAATCACTCATCAGCTGCGTCACGGCATGCCGCTGCCGAAGCCCCCACGGCGTGAACGTTGGCAAGGGGAGGTGGACAAATCCTGCCATTAATATTTAAACCCGGCACAAATCCCGTTGTTTGCTCTTAAATGTTTATCCAGCTCCCCGGTGTAATTGGGCAGCCCGTTATCTGCCAGGTTGCATTGCACATGTGGGAATCTGCTATTACAATCCTCTCTCTGAATCTTTTATAGGAGAGCAAAATACATTTACAAGCAAATTCAGGTTTTATTTGGAGGCGCGGGAGGCGCGTTACTAATTTGGCTGCGGCCTGAACCCCAACGTGCGAAGTGCTCAATGTGTTGCGTGGGAGGAGGAGGTTTTATTTAGCTGCACGCTGCTTTCCTCGCTGCTTGGGCTTTCCATCGCTAACGCTATGTGTGAGCAGCGAGCGCTGAGGGTAGTCCCAGGAACCCCACAAAAATGCAGCCACTTTTTGCATCTTGCTGATTCCTCCACCTTTATCTGTCACAGTGGCCTCGGTGAGGGACCAAGGGTGGGCTGAGCTTAGGTGGGATGGGTCATCCCAGGCATCCACGCCCTCCTGGTCCCTATAGATGCAGCCAGGTGACCCTATAGAGGCAGCTGAGACTACCTGGCTGGTCTGGATAGCTGCAGCTGGGAGCGGCAGGCAGGATGGTGGGGAGGAGGATATTAAGAGTGCAAGCGTCTGGGATACCTTGGCGGTGGGGCCGGGATAAGCGCTCATGGTAGACAGATTAGTCATCGGTTCCTGATAGGGGATAATCGCTGACTTGTCTGCTCTTTATCTGTGAGATAAGGACGAGGTTGGGGGAGGGAAGGAAAAGGCATGGAAAAGTTGAAGCAGCCAGGATGGACAGGTCCTGGCATGGTGGTCCCTCGTGGCTTGGCCACTGGCAGCCGGGGAGCAGGATCAGGGCACGTGCGGGGCTGTAGGCGAAAGCCCTCGTGCTCATCCAGGGGCTGTGATTTCCTTTCTGCTGCTTCAGCTCCTGTCCCGATTACGTGGTTCTGTTGACTATAAATTATTCTACAGAGGGAGCAGCATCCTCCTCTCCCTTCAGCACGGTGCAGGCTGCGCCTAGAGCTTGCTGGAACAGCTCTCAGGCAGCGACTGTTAGCAGAAATTAAAGGAATTTTGTAAAGGACATTAAATACAAATAGCTGTATCTTACCGGGTCAGGAGCGTTCTCAGCCTTTGCCGGAGGAGCAAAACCCCTCGGGTTGATGTCCTTTCGCTTACAAGCCAAGAAGAGACAGTCGCCCTGCTGAGAAGACTCAATCCTGGAGCTTGATTTTCATGAATTGCATTCGAGTTCCTGGTTCAGCGCAGGGGGCTGGGACGTGTGCAGCATCCCAAGCTGTCTCTGCGTGAAAGTGATGTCTGCTTCCAAACCAGATCGCAGTCGAGTGGGGAAGATGTTGTTAAGATTTAATTGGGAACGCGTCGGCTACAGCATCCCTTGGCTGTCCGTGCAGCGCCTCGCTCTTCCCGCGCTGACCCCTTTCCTCGCTCAAGAGGGAGACGAGATGGGAGAAGCAGACCAAAGTGGAGCAGAGCATCCTCCAGCTGCACCCGTCCCTCCTTGGCACTGGTTTTCACGGAGAGGTTTCTGCAGAGCAGGGCTTACAAGCTGGGAGATGAAAAGCTGAGTTTCTGTTCCCTTTTGCACTCCTGGCTGCTGCCTGCTCCGTGAGCCTGGGAAGCCGGGGACATTGCTGGGAGGTAGGGCAGTGCTCGGGGGGAAAAATGGGAATTGAAGGGGGCAAGGCAAGGGGAGGTGGATCCAAGCTGTTGTTTAAAGCACTTGTGGTTTTTTTTGGTTTTTTGTTCTCTGGAAGATGAAATGCAGCCTGTGAACACACACATGTGCCTGCCAAAGGCCCTGCTCCGGTCACAGTTTGCTCTTTGAAGGATTATTGATCCTTTGCTCTTTCTAGCAGAGGGTCTCTCCCAGGCAGGTACACTGATGCACAGGGACTTGTCCTCTGTCCTAAAGCAAATGAGGGGCAGGATCAGGCATTTAACCCGGGGCTCTGGAGCCCTCATGCAGTGCTACCTCTGTTAGACTGTTCCTAATGTGGGGAAGGGCTTGCAGGAATTGGAGCTTTACTGTCACTTAAACAAACCGGTGATGTGGAGCAAGAGGAGGAACACCCTCCTGCCAGGGAGTGCTCCAGGCTCTGCTGCTGCCCTGCCTACTCCCCCCGGGCTTTGAAGGAAAGCAGGTCCCTGCTCTTGCTCAGCCTCACTTCATGTGGGGCGCAGAGGGAGAGGGGCTAGCTAGGCATTAGCCCTGTGGTCGGAATTCCTCCTGGCAGCTGCTGCCACTGCTGTGGAAGGGAGAGCGTGACGCTGTCAGCTGGGGCTCACTGCCTGGGAACCTGGTTGGTTTTCCCTCACCTGAGCTGATAAAATAGATGTGGGTCCATATAAAATAGAGGTAGGTCCACTTCTTTTTGCTGGTGGGACTGCTGACCCTCCTGCTATAACACGGTTGTCTCTTTTCTCCTCCCTCCCCATCCCTCTAGGCGCTCCTGACCCCACTGCTGGGGCCAGCATCGACGATGAGAACTGCTGGCACTTGGACGAGGAGCAGGTCCGAGAGCAGGTGAAGCTGTTCCTATCTCAGGGAGGGTACTATGGCTCGGGGAAGCAGCTCAACTCCATGTTTGCCAAGGTGAGGAGGAGCCGGCTGCTCTCTCCCCTCTTCGCTCAGCGCGTCACGTAGCCGACAGCTCGGTGGCTGCCCTGGCAGGGTGCCTGTCACAGCTGGGAATCTCTGCTCCAGTGCCTTCTCGCCCGGTCGCAGAGCAGGCGGTTGTAATCCAGGCTCTGGGTCAGGCCTGGGTTGTCCCACCCGCTCCCTTGGCAGGTCCCTTCCTCCCATGCGATGGGCTTGCCGTGATCCCTGTGCAAGGCAGGGCTTTCCCCCATCTCCCCATCAGCATGGTGGGGGAAAAACCAACCCTGCAGAGCCTACTGAGACCATGGAGAGGTGGCACCAGCCTACAGGCTCTTTTCTTTCTTTGCAGAAGGGCCTTGTTTTTATGTTCTTGATTGCTTGGTCCCCTTCACAGCCTAGGCTGTGGCTGTTACTCAGCTGGACTCCAATCAGCCAGGTCATAGCCATTGCATGAGTGTTACATGTATATATGTATTGATGACTATACATTATACACGTATATATATGTATATAATTACAGTCTGGACCCCCAGACTGAGGGAGCTGTGAGTTGCCAGCCAGGTGACCATGTACTAAACACCTCCAGGGGACCGTGGGTTGTCTCACAAAGGACCTTCTCTCTGTCCTTTCCAGGTTCGGGAGATGCTGCGCATGAGGGACTCCAACGGGGCCAGGATGCTGACGTTGATAACGGAGCAGTTCATGGCCGATCCTCGGCTCTCCCTCTGGAGGCAGCAGGGGACAGGCATAACGGAGAAGTGCCGGCAGCTCTGGGATGAGCTGGGTAAGGGTCACCGCCTTGCAGAGAGCAACAGCAGGGTTGCCTGGGCTGCAGGCATCATCTCAGAGGCTTTTAAGGCTCTTTTTTGGGAGCAGAGGCCCTGAGAGATGCCAGGAGCTTGCTCTATCCCCTGCTGGGGAAATCCTGGTGGGACAGCTGGATCAGGCCCCAACTGTACACTTCAACACCTTAAACCAGCCCCTCTCCTGCAAAGGAGTCAAGGATGATGGGTGTGCGGAATGTGGCTGGTCCCATACTTGCAGCAGCCTGATGTTTGGTGTGCTGCCCCAAAGTCTTTGCGAGGGAGGATACAGGCTGGTGAGCCCCAGGGGCTGGACGTAGCCTGGAGACGTGGAAGTGCCATTCCTGGAGGAACTGTGATCCAGAGGGGGAAAGGCAGGTTCTCAAGTCTCATTCTGTCCAACAGATTTCTGCATGCTGTGGTGCACGTTTCCAGAGTGAGGGGGCAGGATGGCCAGCGCAGAGCCTGGCTTTAAGAGAAATGCAGTTCTGGGTAATTCTAGCTAAGCACCTTAGACACTGGCTCAGCTGGCTGACACCATAATATCATTAGAATAAAACATTTAGATTACGTGGGCCCAGGGAGGTTGGTTGTGTGGTAGAGTTAACCCAGCAGTTCTGGGCTCTCCTGGACATCTGGGATCTTGGATGAATAGTTTGACTTGTGCCATAGTTTCATGATGAGTTTGAGCTCCTTTGCAGCCTGCCGGTGGGAGATGCTGTGTAAGGGCAAGGGCTCACAGGCTGGGATCAAAGGGATGTTGTAGAGCTGGAAGAGGTTGAGGGTGGTCCAGGATCTGGAGTACCTGAAACTGCAGCTGGGGTCATAGACCAAGTGTCCCAACAAACGCAAACACAGTCGTGAGACGGAGAGCCTGGCCAAACAGCACAGACAAGGGCCGGGCAGGGGTGGGATGTCGCATTTCTGTGTGAAGTTTCCTAGATGGAAATAACCACGCCGGCTCTGAAGAGCTCATCTGTGCTTGCTTGCCAAGAAGATATTTCCAGGATTTTGGGATGCTGCAGCTAGATAGTTGGATATGCAAGGATCCTGGAGAGGTGGCCAAATCCACCAAGCCAAAATTTCCTCATGGAAGAAAGCAAACACATTGGTGAAATGTTGACGGATGGGTGTCTAGGCAGGCCTGCACTCAGGAAGCAGTTTGCCCAGAATTACAGATTATTTGGCCAGACTTCAAACCTGCTATCCAAGCCGAGAGCCCTCCCTCCCTTCCCTCCCACATGAGGCGGGAGTGGTTGGGTTTCAGTCCTGGCTTAACAGTGCAAGGACCAGGTCGGTGCATGTAGTTTTGGTCGGCAGAGCGGGAGGAGGCGACAGCATCTCCCCATCAGCAGATGGCAGGGTGGCGGGGGAACGTCAGGGCCCTACCAAGGCTGGATCAGCGTGACAGCAGGTGAAACGTGGTGCCAGCCAACGCACGTCAGAGCGAGCGGCTCGCCTGGCGTAGGCACGTCATGCGAGAGGGATTTGGGCATCTCCATGCTGAAGAGAAGCCCCTGCAGAGGACACGGTGATGGTCCAAGAAACGGCTCCAGCGCAGGATGGGCATGGACTATACTCAGAGCAGGGATTATTCCCCCCATCTTACAGAAGCCTTTTGGATTTGGTCCTGGGCAGCATTTTCTGTAGGAACAGAGCATCCCTCTGAAGGAAGGGTCCAGGCATGGAGGGACCAGAGCTGCAGTGAGTGGTGGTGTTCACCGGTAACGAACATCAGCAATGCGGAGAGATGTCCCAAACCATCGCTGGGCAGGCAACAGTAGCTGGGGCGCGTGGGGCGGTGAAGGCATGTTGTCTGACTGCTCGTGGGATGCAGATGCCAAAGCTGCCCGGTGTTACCGCTGCTGCCAAAGCGGGGGACAAGCAGCCTGGTGCCAGCTGCTGCGGGAAGCCCCGGTGCAGACCACGTTCCCCTGCCACGTGGAAGAGGAAAACGGGCCTCGCGGAAATTATTTCGGGCACGTGTTTAATAATTAATTATCGATTTTAGCAAAGACTGCATCACAGACTTGCGTGGGATTGGAAGAAGATCAGCCTTAAAGAAGATTGTGGATTTATGCTGGGGAAAATGTAAAGGATTTTGCAGGATTTCAGAGTTTAAAAAAAAAATTAAAATAAAAAGGGCATCGTTTGCTTGCATGTGCTGCCAACTGAACATCTATTGCCCCGTCTGCTGGGGAGCCAAAGGAAAGACCTGCTGGATGGAGAGCTCTGTGGCGTGGGAGTATTTGCCCTGGCGTATTAGTACTTACGATTAAAGCCTAATTACAAAAAATAGACGAAAAACCAGCTGAAGTGCAGCCTGACCTTAATCTGCCTGGAGACGGGTTTATTTATCTCGGCCACTTGTTTACAGTGGGGAATTTCAGCAGATTAAGCTGGGGAGCGACCCTGTGGGAAACGGGAGAATTTCTTTGATGGTTTGGAAACTTGGGCGCGGGATCGGAGCGCCTGTCCTCTCCGGGGCCGGCAGCCGGGACCGCAGGGCTGGGAAGGCTCCGACCCCCCCGTCCCTGCACCCAGCCCCGTCATCAAAAAGCATTTTTGTTTAGAGGCTTAGCTTAATCGTGATCTGCTGCTTTGTTCCCCGCTTAACCTTCTGCTATTGGAAAGTTCAGATGAAGGTTTCTGCAGCATGTAGTTTGACCCGGCACGGCATTTTGGCTCAGGACAGGAGTCACTTGTGCTGTCAGCTGATGTCACTTGACCATAGGGCTCAGAAAACCCCTCTTTTCCATCTCCCAGATAACTATTGTGGCCGAGACAGATGCGAATCCCTCTTCCCTCCTTGTCCCCACCTCCCTGCCACATCTTCCCTTCTGCCTGAGAGCCCAGGAGCACGGCGCTTTGGCGGCTCCCAAAAATAGGCTGCAAAGTCATGAGGCTTCTGCGGATCGCATCTTAGCTGAGCTGTGGGAGCCAAAAATCCAGTGGGTGCATCCCGTTCCTGGGGGCGGCGGAGCCGGAGCACTGAGCCTCGTTACCGCCTGTCAGCCAAGCCACCCTGCTCACCGTCAGAGGGGGGGGGGCAAAATGCCCGGGGGCGGCTGGGGCGGGTGAAGACGGGCAGTGTCATCGGGCAGGAGTGCCGGGAAGGGGATGCCCAAAACCCGCCGGAGCCCTGGGACGCCCAATGCCAGGAACCCAGTGCAGGATTTGGCTCATGCCCGCCCGAGGAGGTGGGGAGTTTCATGCCCTCGGGATGGGCAGCAGGCAGGCTCGGCTGAGGGGCAGTAACCAGAGCCTTAAGGAAGACTCATTTTCTGGAGCTGAGACCTGATTTTTTGGAAGACGCTGTATCCATGCAGCCCTCGTGGAGCCTATAGGAGCCTGGAAGTGAGTGGCCTGGACCCGCTCTGGGAGGGATGGGCCCCGAAAGCCCCTAAGGAGTCAGCTCTTCTTTGCGTGTGCATTAAGTGCTGATGTTGCAGCTCAAAAGTCTTATTCCCCCGCTGTTCATCAGAAAGGAGTGGGGTTTTGGTGGGGTTTCCTGGGAGCAGCGGAGCTGAGATGCGGGTGGAGTTGGACCGGGCGAGGGCTGCTTTGAATATCTGCTGATCTTCAGTGCCTGTGGTTGGTTTTCCCATGCCCGTTCCTGGATGCGATACTGCTGCCACCATCTGCGTTGTGACGCCGTGACGTCTCTCCTGCCGAGCCAAGCTGCTCCTAGAGGCTGGACGCGCACAGCCTCCACGCCTTATAAATGTCCACAAGTCCCAACTAGCAGAGGATGGGTGCTGGGAGATGCACCCCAAAAGCACCACCAAAGCTCAGCTATAACCCAGAGGAGCGGGGAGACACCGGAGCGGAGCCAGGACATTGCTGTTCAGCCTGGTCTTGCCTCGCGCTGCCTGGAAGAGGGACCGGCTGCTCCCGCTGCCTCTGTTTGCTCGTCCCGGCTGGTGCGCGTTGGCGGCTGGGGCCCTGCCGCAGAAAACACAGCAAGCGCGGAAGATGGTTTGGGCGCCCGGAGGAATCCCCTCGCCGTGCAGCAGAGCCGTATCGGGTGATGTCCTGCCGCTGGCTGTCACTTTGGGATGGGAATTTTGGCTCTGGGAGTGATGGAGAGCTGGGGGAGAGCAGCTGGCTGGGCGGGGAGAAGGAAGGTGCTCCAGGTCTCCACTGGGCCCACGGAGGAGAGGCAGGGGAGGGTGTTTCTGTGGGAGGCTGCGCTGTTCCGGGTGTGTGGCAGAATCCGGCCCAGGCAGAGAGAGGAGCAGCACAGGCTGCTCAGCCCGGGGGGATCCCTGGGGACACTGTGCACCACAGCTGTGCCAGCACGCGGCCATCCCACCCCGCGGAGCAGGCACAAGGGAGGGGACGTGCTGCGTCCTGTCAGCCTTGCAGGGAAATTTGGGCAAAAATGCAATTAGCTAAAGGAGAATTCACAGTTTTGCACTTACTTGGGTTGCTGCAGCCCTTTTCAGAGTAGTGGGTGACTCAGGAGAATTGGTGAGGCTCGGTTAGCAGCACCAGCATCAGCCCTGTCTTATGAAAAGATGAGCTGGATCTTAATGACTACAGATGTCCTTGGGCCTGGTTCTGCCTCTTGCACAGCAGACAGCATCATCAGGCCTGTGAGGTCCCGTGGTTGACCTGGAGGGTGTCAGCGTGCGTGTCCTACTGATGGGCACCTCTGCTTGTGAGATCTGGAGGGCTTGCACCTTGGAGGGCTCTTGCCTGTGAGACATCAGGCCGAGCTCCAGGTTCCTCTGCTGGTTCCTCTGCAGGCTGGGGGCTACTGGGGATTAAAAAAGAAAAAGAAAAAGAAAAAAAGGAAGAAAATACACCAAATCTCCTTTTTAAATAGTTGAATGCAAATGGCCTGAAGAACAATGGCAGATGAAATAGCATTCGGAGCGGGCTTTAAAGCGCTTGGAACGTGGGTAGGATCAAAATCAGGTTAGTCTTTGGAGATACAGACTCTGCAGCTTGCCAGGGTGTTTTTAAGCATGCTTTGATGTGTAGTTCAAACACTAGATTTGTCCTGGCAGACAGAAGCACTCACAAATTCATACACAACCGCTCTCTTCTTCCCTCCTCCCCACTGTCCCCCATCTCATGAGATTATAATTTAGCTTCATTACAGAGGAGTTCTACTTTTATTTAAAAGCTGTCTAAATCCCCCTCCTGGGTCCGTGGATTATACTGAAATGAGTTTACGGATGCTGATGAAACCTTGCAGGCTTTCACGACGAGCACAGGAGCAGAAGAGCTTTGCCTCGCGGGTATGGTGGTGGCACCTCCTTGATTTCTTGGCTTTGTTTAGGGGCGCTGTGGGTGTGCGTGGTGTTAAACCCGCACTGCAAGCTGGAAGAGAAATCCTGCTGGCTCCGGCAGCTGCGCAAGTGGGGCGAGATGGACGTCTGTCCTCTGGAAGATGGCAATTACGGTAACGAGCTTCCCAACATCACCAATGCGCTTACGCAGAGCTCCGGTCACAGCCAAGGTGAGTCCGGGCAGAGGGTGGAAATCCAGCCGGTGGTCACAGGGGTTGAGTCAGGGTCAAAACTCACCCCAAAGTTGAGAGACCTCAGTTCACCTGCTGGTGATGTCTCCGGGAGGCATGGGAATACAAAACATTTCTCTTTACAGAGAAAACTCTGGTTTTAGATACGCTTGAAAATATTTGGCTCTTTGCGACATCTTGGGTGAAGTCACCTGTATTTTGAGCATCAAATCATTTTCAAAGGCCATTTTAACGCAATTTGACCACGGGGGAGTTTGGACCCATATGGTCTGTGCAGGTTTAGGTACTGAGTTTTACAGAAAAACGGTACTGCTTGAATCAGAGTGGAACTGAGCTCTGAAGCCCTGGCTGTAATGTGAGAGTGAGGAGTTGGAGGTGGTGCAGAGCCCCTCACCCAGCCTTTGGGTCTCACTTCTGGGCTTTGATGCAGATAGTAGATAAGTCATTAGCTAGGGATGTTAAACACAGTTCAAGTGCAGAGCACAAACAGAGCAATGTAGTTATGGGGTTGTTCCTTCATGCTAAAATATTTTCTCAACCCCTGACAAAGCATCTGAACCCTTTAAAACACTTTTTCCCCTTTTTTTTGCCTGAAGTAGACATTAATTGAAAGTTACTGCTCTTACCGTGCCTCCATCTGCTGCGCTGGAATTGATCTTTGGTGTATTACGTGCGGCCAAAGTGGGAAGAGGAGAGGGGGGCGGCAGCCGTGCCACGAAGGAAACTTCACTCTTCTGGGTGGGATTAGTCCCCCAGCAGCAGTTCAGGAGCGCGGCCGTCCTGCCAGCCTGCCCCAGCCACGGCCAGGACCGTGCGCCCCGGGGACCTCCCTGTGCGCATCCTCGGGGAGCGGCTTAATTTAAACCTGGCCTTGCTCCACGTCCTGTGCCAGGCCCGGGACTCCCCCCTGGTGTTCCCAGCTCCGCTGAGGATTCGCTCTGGCATTCAGGGCAGGTCACCGGGGCTGAGCAGGTCACATTTTCAGACATGCGGGGAGTTTCCAAAGCGCGTGCCAGGGATGTCCCCTTGTCCCCACGCTCCTGCCTCTCCAAGCAGGGGACTGAAAGCAGCACAGACCCTGGAGGTGTCCCGGGATTAATGTCTATGCCTATGCAAATACTGCTGCAAATTGTTGCCAGCCTCTTTTATTACTGAAAGAACAGCTGATTCCTGAAATCCTTCCTGGTAAAGTGAGCAGGCTTGGTTCTGTATGTACAAACACCTGTTTAATTTCTCTCCACCTCGGGGTGCCTGCAGCATTCAGGCTAATTTGTTGCCATCGTTTCCGGAGCGTGTTTATCCAGCCGCCCTGGATCAGCTTTGAGCGGCGCCTTTTGTTTTCCCCTCTCGAATGCATTTAACTTGGCCTGTCTTGCGGGTTGCAGGACCTAACATTCAGCATTGCATCCCCTTTGGGGCTTCCCATTTTGCAGCCCGCTGGCTGTGTTTGGCCCTTGTGCTCCAGCGTGGCTGGAGCGATAGGATTGCTCCGGATGGGCCTTTTCTTCCCGACAAACCACTTGTCTGATTTGTCTGGCCGGAGTGAAATGCTCGTCCAGCATTCAATAGCTTTGAAAATATCATTGTAGTTACAGAGCAGCTCTGAAGAGGAGCACAGACACCTGCGGCAGAGCAGCGGTGGGGTTTCAGATGATGCTGTCTCCTCCCTTCCAGCCCTCTCACACAGCCAGGGGAGGTTGCTGGAAGGCGATGGTTCCCTCCATCGCCCGGAGGCAGATGAGACACACTCGTGCGGTTCCCTTCAGGTGCTGCTGATCTAAGCAGCTGTGGTTCAGTGAAGCCGGGGCTTTGCTTTGGAGCAGAAGAGGAGAGCTCGTGGTCCTTGCAGGGCAGTAACACTGAGGAAGCCCAGTCCTGACCCCTGGCAGCTGCCTGCACGCTGAGCGTCACAGGGGTGGGAATGCACTGACACATTTCAAGGCATCAGTGACAGTGGATTATCATCAGAAAGCTAACGGCAGGGCAGTCCCTGCCTCTTTCCGCACCTCTTTGGCCAAGGCAGCTATTCTAACAAGTTACTTAGCAATGCCGTCTAAGGAGAGGGCAGTCTCCATCAGAGATGGGATGGGCAGCAGAGGTATCTAAAGGCAATCTGCCACAGCGCAGGAACCAGAGCACCTGTGCTCAGCTCTGAAACGGCTGGGGGGCGACCAGATGGGGCTTTGCTCTCATTGTAAAGACATTGCTCTGCCCAGGGAGGTCGTGTTTAGGGGCGGGAACAGGCTGCCCCTGCCCCACCAAGGCACTGACGGTTTTTCTGTTTGCAGACTCGCTGGCCAGGCCCAGACGAACCGTGTTCACCCGGGCGATCGAGGGCTGTGATCTCCACTGGCAGGACAGCCACCTGCAGCGCATTATTAGCAGTGACTTCTACGTGTCTCCCTCCTACCAGCGGGAGGGCGAGAGCCTCCTCTTCAACTCCCAGGGGCAGCCGCTCTGGCTAGGTGAGCATCCAAACCAGCAGCCCCTTGCGTGGCCTGGGTGGATAGGGTTGCTAGTGGAGAAGAGCCACGCATCAAAGAAGCTTTGCTACCCTGGGTCCTTGCAAGCTTCTGCATCCTAGATTGAAAGTGGCCCTTAGCCTGAGGAGAAGGGCGAGCAGAAGAACTTGATGCTCTCCCACACCCCAGCCACAGTCCTTATAGCAAGCCCCACATCTTTACAGCCTGGGTTCCCCTTGGGCAGCTTGGACCAGGCTCGTCGTGTCCTCTTTCATCCTGCCAGTGTTGGGCTGTCCCCTGTGCAAGCTCTCACTGTTCCTGGTACAGGGGGGCTGGACACTTTAAGTCCCTTGAAAGTTGGCTGGGGAGCACAGCTGTATCCTCTGGATTTTTTCTTCTCTGCTCTCACCCTCTCTTTAGTCTTCCCTTAGAGGCAATTGGCAGACAGTACAATTAAGCCTTGTATGAGCTTAAGGCATACTGGACCAGTCAAGCCCAATTCCTGTGTTGTAGACCTTTAGTCCATGTACCTCAAGCCACACAACTTCTCTACTGCAAAGTCATGACCCTGGCCAGGTCTGCAGACCCTTGACAACTACATGTCTGGGATGAAAACGAGTGAGACGACGGGCTTGCGGGGTGCCTGGTGTGGCTGTCAGCCCTCAGATTGACCCCAAAATGGGAAACACGAGCCCCCCACACCTCCAGGAAGGTGGATGCCTCATCCCTACAGCCCAAGAGGTGAATGTATAGACATGGAACAGGTCAAAACCCACCACTGCACTGTCGTCCACTCCAGGAGCCGGGGTCTGCTGTTACCCAGCCAAATGGGAAGAGAGCATTTAAAGTCCTCCAGAGATGTGGTTTATGGAGCAGCAGGCACTAAGTTGCTATTAAGGCCAGGAGATAAGTTAAAAAGGGCCCATGTGAAGGCAGGTGGTACAGCTCTGCTAGCTTAGCTGGAGCAGGAGAGGACATTTCTACTCTGGGAAGAGTTTTGTGTGGCTGCAGGCAGCAGGTCTCCTCCCCGCGCAGCCATAGGCAGTGGCGGTGGGTTAGTGCTTCCGTGAACCCCATCTGGCAGGGATGTGGTGGCCACAGCTCCCCTGTCCCTAGCATAATCTGGGTTCTGGTGAGCCCTTTGGACCAGCTGGTTGGTGCATGTTGTTTTTCTGATGTATTTGCCGTGATTTTTGGATTTTGCGTTTTCACTTTCTTGGCACTCCTTCAGGGACTCAGCGCTGGGAAAGGAGTGTGTTTTGTCAGCAACTTCCAGTGATGAATTCAGCAAGAAGCTGAATATTTCATCCATTTAGCAAATTAATAGAGGGAGCAACAAGAAGTTCTTTTACAGATGTTGTGAAACCTTTTCCTCCTGTATTCCTTGCAGGTGACCTTTGGGATGTGGAAACCCCATTTGTGGAGGTGGTTGTCTGCATTTCCAAAGCTTTCTGAGCTCTTCCAGTAATAGAAATTATCCCTTTACCATAATTTTAGATCTTCTGTGTTTGCTTCCCCCCCCCCCCCCCCCCCCCCCCCCGCGGAC